ATAGGAGGCACGGCACTATACACTACACCGTGAAACGAGTACCATTACAATACAGGTGAATCGAATATACTATCAGATAATAATAATAATAATAAAATAACAATAATAATAACAAAACAATAATAAAAATACACAAACCAATTATAGTTTTCATTACATAAATTATACATCAAGGCCGCAGGCATATGTATCTTCCAATTCCATGTGTGATCCTGCGGACCGGCTTCCAGCAGCACAACTTTATTCGCAGGATTCTCCGATAGCCGATGTGCCTTAATCACAATAATTACAATACATTATATTTATAAATGAATAAAGATAATAAATAATAAACATTAAACAATAACACTAATAAAAACAACAACAAAACAACAAATAAATAATCAGAACCCACCAGAACACACCCAGCCGAACCAGCGCCCACAATGATATGCGTTGGTTTTTGGCCGTTGAATTTTTTGATTTCGATAGAATTATTTTGATTTACATTCGATAAAATTGATGAAGAGTGAATACATTTTCGAGTAATATCGCCGGTTTTAAACAGTCGTCTCATAAATCGATGCGACCAGCATATTGAGTTATTAAATCGTATTCTTCCAAACATAATAATCAATCAGTTGGATCAAGCACAGATCCAGATGAGTGCCCTTAACATCCACGTAATCTTATCACCAGGTTTAACTTTACCACATGGTAAATGCCACATGGTGGAATCTTACCGCCTTGGGCGGTTTATGCGGTTAAATCTTACCGCTTCATTACTGCATGGGTGATTGAATTTACAGGTAAAGTGACGACGACGCGCAAACTTCGTTTAATTTTCAAAACAAATAATCAGAACAAGTAAAATATCAAATTCCCCATCTCCCCCTCCACAACAAATACAACCAACCTCCTCGTTCAGCCCAAAATTTATCAATAACTCACAAAAATAAACAACATTTCTTCACAATTCTACTCGTATTCAAATAATTTTCATTAACCACCCAAAATGACCCAAAATT